ATTGACACAACCAGAAACCATTGCTTTGGCCAATTCTCTTGTAGTAGGATCCAAACTTGAAGACAAGTTAAAAGACTTTCATAGCAAGCACAAAGCTCAACCAACAGAGTTGCTTGGCAAGAGGTGGGTCAAAGGTTTCATGAATAGAAACAGAGATATCTTGAACACTGGGAGAGGAAGCAAGCAGGACAGAGCATGGAAGGACTGGACAACATATGAGAACGTCCAACAAATGTATGGGTTGGTGTATGAGCAAATGCTCCAAGCTGGAATCGCAGTGCGCTTACCAGAAAGTGAACACTATTGGGTTGACAATGTGGGGCAGATTGTTGATTCTGAGGACAAGGCGGCTGGTCGCTTCACTGTGATGGGTCTGACTGCTGCAAGTGGAGATTCAGTGATGTGTATTGTTATCATTACGGGCAAGGAGTTGGCTTGTGAAGATTACATCGGATTTGACCACCAATCTGATGTAATGTATGACGGGACAAAGACACTTCAAGAGAACTATGGTCCTGGAAAGGTGCTTCCGGGACTTCCCGTCTGTGTCTTCAGAGGAAAAGAAGTGCCTGGTATGGTTGCTGTGTCTCCAAAGGGATCCATGACTTCCGAAATTCTCAAGAAAGCACTGGAGACATTGGACGAACTAGGGGTCTATCCACGGACCCGGCAAGGACCGACGCCAATGTTTCTCTTCGATGGCCATGACAGCCGCCTTCAAGTTCCCTTCCTTAAATACATCAACAGTGAAGATGAGTTCCAGAATCCACTTTGGATAGGCTGCATCCGCTTGCCAAACGGAACCGCAAAATGGCAGGTTGGTGATTCTGTACAGCAAAACGGATCCTTCAAGATGGCAATGACAAGGGAGAAGAAGAGATTGGTGTATCACAAGATTAGGATGATACATCAAGTGATCGGATATAATACCTTTGATCTGCAAAGCGTGGGCTGTATTGTTCGCTCGGAAAGTACAGAATCTCCATGCCATCATTGCAAGAGGATGGTACTATCTCAACATGAGACTGTTGAAAGACACGGATATCTTGAACACACGGGTGACTCATGTAAATACTTCCAAAGGAACAACTGCTGAATCGGAAGATCCTGGAACTCCCGTAACACCCCGAACTCCCCAGTTGGTTGATTACCAGGTGGAGGAGAGTGCATTTACTGACAACATTGGACCCTTAGCACTGCACATGAATGTTGGCAATAGTGAAATCATGTTTGATATGATTGTTCATATGCGCAAAAATGCTGGCGTCCAAGCACGTCTGAAAGAGCGAAAGAAAAAGATTGCTGCAGACGCAGCTGCCCACGAAACGTTCATGTTGATGCGGTTTCCACCTTCGCATGCAAAAGTATACAGAGCTCGAACTCAAGGGGATAACGAATCCCAAAAAAATGAATGTGCTACAAATTGGCACATGGCTCAGCATCCGGAAGACGAAGGCAGATAAGATCCCAAAGGGGAAGGATCTCCAGATTGCATTGATGAAAGAATGGGCTGGTCGACCGCTCCTGAATCTGAGGCAACACCTTCTTGATCTTGGCAAACAGGAGCACAATATAGATACGGTCTTCGCGGAAAGAGCCAGGATTGCAGCAGAAGTAGAAGCTTTTGAAGAGGAAGAATCTGATGGGGATGGATTGTTGGTTCATCGTCTTGACATGACTGCTGTTTCAAACGGTAGCAAGAAAACCATGGAGGTCGAACTTTGATTTTTAAAAACGACAATGAGAATTTGCCGAAAATTCCATTCATTTTTCACGCAATAGCTCTAGTACATTTTTGCGTAGAACTGAATTTGTGACCAAAAATTACATAAAGTAACGAAACTAGCCAACCTGGCAATTATAGACCTACCAGCATTCGGACTACATCTGCAGGTAGATTGGACATCTATGATGAAGGCTAAGGGGTGGGAAAGCTTCTTGAAATCTTGGTCGGAAATCAGACAGATTTTGCCGTTTTCACGAACGAGTACAGGAGCGGCTGTAACTGGACCTAAATGCGCCGAGTCAGCTTTTTGGGGGTGTTGTTCGGACAAAATGAGGGGAGTAGTATAGTCTTCAATTGTTTACGCAAGTTAGTCTGACTGGCGCGTCTTTCTTTTCAAAACTACTCGGCGTGCGTGCCCTTTTGGTCTGCTTCCGAACCGTTGAACCTTCGTCCAAGTGGACAAAAATAGTCGAACCTTCGTCGAGTCCGACTATTCTTGTCGGAGTCCGACTATTCGCGTCGAAGTCCGACTATTCTTCGTTGAAATAGACGAAACTGATTTCAGAGCTTGCAAGAATCTTGCGTGACAAAAAATTCAAATTTGAATTATCGGGCTGGTAGTGGCAAGCTAGGATGACATGCAAAAACGGCAAAAAACGGTAACTAAATAGAAAAGGGCAGGTTCTATCTCTCCACAGCAATATGCCGAAGTTGCCAGAGATGTTTACAGACATGTTGCATACTTTCAGAAATTCAAACGTCAACAACGAATTATACTAACTTAGATGAGTGATAGATTTAGGA